GAAACCTGGTACTACCTAACTATTAACTTTAAGAAACTTTAGATACTTGACCCTACGGATCCATCACAATTGGGTTTGGATCACTCTACACTGGGAAAGCCGGTTGCCCGAGCGGACAGCACGCTGGACTTGTGATCCTGTGGTCCTGGGTTCGATCCCAGGCGCCGGCGAGAAACAATGGGCAAAGTTTCTTTCACCCTATGCCCTTGTTACCTAGCAGTAAAATAGGTACCTGGGAGTTAGTCAGCAGTCACGGGCTGCTTCCTGGGGGTGGAGGCCTGGTCGAGGACCGGGCCGCGGGGACACTAAAGCCCCGAAATCATCTCAAGATAACCTCAAGACACTTCAGAGTACATATAAGGAGTTGTATTGTAGGTTATCTGGTAGTTGGTTTAGTGCATACAGAGTCCATAGGATTTAATTCATACTAATTGGTTAGGTTAGGTTAGGTTAGGTTAGGTTAGATTAGGTTAGGTTAGGTTCAAGACACAGTCTCCAACACTGGGACGTACCTGAGAGCCTGGAGCCCGGCTTGTGCGGGGGCGCGTACCCCCGCGTGCTCCTGTTGGAGGAGGAGGAGGATGAGGAGTGTTGGTGACGATGGTGGTGGTTGCGTCTCCTCCACACGCAGCGCCCCGCCGCCAGCACCACCAACACCACCACAATCACCACCACCACACCCACCATCAGCGCTCCTGTCACGGGGCCTCCCGGTCCACTCTCGTCCACCTGCTCGTCACCTGTGGTTAGTGGTGGGTGGTTAGTGGTTAGTGGTGGTGTTGTTAGTGTCCTTTGTTGGGTGGTTAGTGGTGGTGTTGTTAGTGGTGGTGTTGTTAGTGTTCTTTGTTGGGTGGTTAGTGGGGGTGTTGTTAGTGGTGGTGTTGTTAGTGTTCTTTGTTGGGTGGTTAGTGGGGGTGTTGTTAGTGGTGGTGTTGTTAGTGTTCTTTGTTGGGTGGTTAGTGGGGGTGTTGTTAGTGGTTGTGTTGTTAGTGTTCTTTGTTGGGTGGTTAGTGGGGGTGTTGTTAGTGGGGGTGTTGTTAGTGGTTGTGTTGTTAGTGTTCTCTTGTTGGGTGGTTAGCTAGCCAGGTTAGTGGTGCTCCTGTTAGTGTCCTTCGTTAGGTGGTTAGTTGTTGGGTCGTTACTAGTTGGGTAGTTAGTGGTGCTGTTGTTAGAGCCCAAGTTCCAACAATTATTTCAATTAACATATCCAGTACAATCGTAGCGACACCATTTCATAGACAATCACAACAATTAGTTCACTAATAAACACACCATCAATAATCTCATTAATCACTTGAGCAAAAAAATTCTCAATAATTCACACAATCTCTACAATTATCACAGTACTGACAATAAACAATTACCAAAGAACCAGCAATTACCTTTACACAATCTAAATGAAATATTGCTTGCAAAAACAATCATCAAGAACATTCGAACTAAAAGTTACCTTATCACCAACAATCAATAATTACTTCTGTACTTCTGTGGACATTTTCAAGAGGAAACTAGATTTATTCCTCCAAGGAGTGCCGGACCAACCGGGCTGTGGTGGGCATGTGGGCCTGCGGGCCGCTCCAAGCAACAGCCTGGTGGACCAAACTCTCACAAGTCGAGCCTGGCCTCGGGCCGGGCTTGGGGAGTAGACGAACTCCCAGAACCCCATCAACCAGGTAATCAACCAGGTACTATCCATAAACATCAACTACCAATTATTACTTACAAGTACCAACAATCGACAAGCTCCAAAAAATAAAAAAATCACTTCAGCAACAACAATGGTAACATTAAAAACCACTAGCAATTAAGAAGTTCAGTATATCCAACCAATCATCTTTCAGCTTCAAGCAAAATTTTTAAATATCCTCAATCAACAAGTACCTTAGTTGCAACAATCAACAAGCACCTTAGTTGCAACAATCAACAAGCACCTTAGTTGCAACAATCAACAAGCACCTTAGTTGCAACAATCAACAAGCACCTTAGTTGCAACAATCAACAAGCACCTTAGTTACAACAATCAGCAAGCACCTTAGTTGCAACAATCAACAAGCACCTTAGTTACAACAATCAACAAGCACCTTAGTTGCAACAATCAACAAGCACCTTAGTTGCAACAATCAACAAGCACCTTAGTTGCAACAATCAACAAGCACCTTAGTTGCGACAATCAACATGCACCTTAGTTGCAACAATCAACAAATACCTTAGTTGCAACAATCAACAAATACCTTAGTTGCAACAATCAACAAATACCTTAGTTGCAACAATCAACAAGCACCTTAGTACCAACAATTAACAAGCACCTTAGTACCAACAATTAACAAGCACCTTAGTACCAACAATTAACAAGCACCTTAGTACCAACAATCAACAAGCACCTTAGTACCAACAATTAACAAGCACCTTAGTACCAACAATTAACAAGCACCTTAGTACCAACAATCGGAAAGTACTTTAACACCAATAATCAAAATCAATAACAATCACAAAGGACCCGAACTTCAACTAACCAACTAACTAACAATCAACAACCATCTTACCACCTATGATACACAATCAATATATAAAAAGAACATTAATTTAAACAATCAAATTAACATCAATAATTATAGTGCACCTTATCACCAACAATCAGTAAATACCTTAACATAAACAACCAACAACAATCACCACCAACAATCACCAACACTGAAGTATTACCAATAATGAATACCCAAAAATTAATCAGTATTAACAATCAGTAAACCCCTGAGCACCAACAACTAACAATCAAATTTGCACTAACAATCAATAAACACCTTAGCACCAACAATTCAACAAGTGCCAACAATCAACCATCACCAATAATCAACAAGTACTAACAATCAATAAGTTTTTGATTACCATTAATCAATAAGTTCTTGATTCTCAACAATCAACAGGCACACCCACTTACCAAAAGAACAATCAGTAACATTTAATGTTACTACAGGCAAATTGGCACTAAAAAAAACTCGCTTAGCAATCAACAATCACTTTAGCACCAACAATAAAGAGCCCCTTAACACCATTAATCAAGGCGCATCAACAATTAATATGTACTTTAGCACCATCAATCAACAAGCATCATCCATCAAGAGGCCCAAACAATCAACACGAATCAACTATCAACAATCACGTAAGCACAAGCATTCAACAGTTCCATTCAACAAACAACGTAGGACCAGCAGTTTGCAGACACCAACAATCAATTAGCATCAACAATCACCTTAACACCAACAGTCAACAAACAACTAAAATCCAACACTGAGTAAATGACAATCAACAACTAGCAAGCACCTTAGCAAAAACAATCATTAAGCATCTTGCCAACAACAATCACAATCAACAAGCATTACATAATTAATATCCATATTGGCATCACCAAACAAACGGCATCAACAATTAATAGATATTTATAATCAACAAAACTCTTTGCACCAACAATCATCAAGCCCCATTAGCTGCAACAATAATCCTAGCACAAACAATTAACACTCTCCCTACCACCAACAATCACCTTAGCGACCAATTAACAAGAACCTTAGCACTGACAATCAACAAGCTACTTGCACCAACAATCAACATCGTAATACATTCAACAACCACCTAAGCATCAACAAACAATCAGTATATACAATTAAAAAGCACCTTATAATTAACACTGAACAAGTATTTTAATAATTACAAAAAAGCCACTTAACTCCAACAATCAATTAGCCCATTGCCACCAACAATCAATAAACACTTTAGTACCAAAAACAACAGTAAAAACTATCAACTTGAACTAACAATCAACAAGAACCAACATGTAACAAGTACCAACAATCAGAAATATTAATAATCAAAAGGCACCATCGCCCAACAATCACCTTAACACATACAATTATCGAGAATGAAGAATCAACAAGCACTAACAATTAACAGCACCAACAATCATCAACCAACAATCAACACGCACCAATGATCAACATGCACCAATAAGCAACAAGGATTAACACTCAACAAGCACCAACAATCATTAAGCACTAACAATCAACAAACATCAATCAACAAGCGTCAACAATCAGTAAGCACCAACAAGCATCATAGATTAACAATCAAAGCACCAACAATCAACACGCACTATCAACACACAGCAAATCAAAAAACATAGTCAACAATCAACAAGTACCAACAAGCAACTAATTGTTAATTCGAATATTGGGCATCTTAACACATGCAATTTACTGGAATCAGGAATTAACAAGTTCCAACAATCACCTAAGCACAAACAATCAGTAGACAACTGGGCACTTTAAAACAATCAATGAGGATCTTAGTACCTTAAAATTCTAGAACAATCAATGAAGGCCAGAGCACCAACATTCAACAAGTATCAATTGTTGACTATTGGTGCTAGACTTAACAATCTCATCGCCAACAATCAACCAGTACATTAACACAATCGCGTCCCCTCCCCCACACTTGCACCACCAGACCCCGTTCTCTTAACGTACGCATTCTCTAACATAAACATTTTTTAACACACGCATTCTCTAACATAATCATTTTCTAACATAAACATTCTCTAACACACGCATTCTCTAACATAAACATTCTTTAACATACGCATTCTCTAACATAAACATTCTTTAACATACGCATTCTCTAACATAAACATTCTCTAACACACGCATTCTCTAACATAAACATTCTTTAACATACGCATTCTCTAAAATAAACATTCTCTAACACACGCATTCTCTAACATAATCATTTTCTAACATAAACATTCTCTAACATACGCATTCTCTAACATAAACATTCTCTAACATAATCATTCTCTAAAATAAACATTCTCTAACACTCGCATTCTCTAACATAATCATTCTCTAACATAAACATTCTCTAACATACGCATTCTTTAACATAATCATTCTCTAACATAAACATTCTCTAACACACGCATTCTCTAACATACGCATTCTCTAACATAATCATTCTCTAACATAAACATTCTGCAACATACGCATTCTCTAACATAATCATTCTCTAACATAAACATTCTCTAACACACGCATTCTCTAACATAAACATTCTCTAACATAATCATTCTCTAACAAACATTCTCTAACACACACATTCTCTAATATAAATATTCTCTAACATACGCATTCTGTTTTCCATATATATATATATATATATATATATATATATATATATATATATATATATATATATATATATATATATATATATATATATATATATATATCCTATTATATATATGACCGAAAAAGTAAGATTAATAATTCTAACATGAATTTTCTCTGTTTCTTATATTTCTTTTCACTGTTGATGGTAACTGAAAAATCAATTCTCCAAAATTCATTTTTATTTCTAGTCTGACGCGACACTTGAACGCGTTTCGTAAAACTTATTACATTTTCAAAGACTTTAGTTTACACACACACAACTATAACTGAACAGAGTTTAAACAGCTTCGATTTTATACCTGCATTTGGGTGAGGTGATATGTTACAACAGTTTTGGATGAGGTGAAAACAAACTTTCAACACACAAGACAGAACACGAAACAATGGGTATAATATTTTGTAAGTTAAAGGGAAGAATGGAAGTAACTGCAAAGGGCCTATTGGCCCATATTTCTTGATGCTTCTATATTGGTGCGGAGTCTTGAAGTGGGTAGAATATAGTTGTGCATTAATTGGCTGTTGATTGCTGGTGTCGACTTCTTAATGTGTAGTGCCTCGCAGATATCAAGCCGCCTGCTATCGCTGTATCTATCGATGATTTCCGTGTTTTTTGTTAAGACTTCTCTGGTGATGGTCTGGTTGTGGGAAGAGATTATATGTTCCTTAATGGAGCCCTGTTGCTTATGCATCGTTAATCGCCTGGAAAGAGATGTTGTTGTCTTGCCTATATACTGAATTCTTTGAGGCTTACAGTCCCCAAGTGGGCATTTGAAGGCATAGACGACATTGGTCTCTTTTAAAGCGTTCTGCTTTGTGTCTGGAGAGTTTCTCATGAGTAGGTTGGCCGTTTTCTTGGTTTTATAGTAGATCGTCAATTGTATCTTCTGATTTTTGTCTGTAGGGATAACGTTTCTATTAACAATATCTTTCAGGACCCTTTCCTCCGTTTTATGAGCTGTGGAAAAGAAGTTCCTGTAAAATAGTCTAATAGGGGGTACAGGTGTTGTGTTAGTTGTCTCTTCAGAGGTTGCATGGCGTTTCACCTTCCTTCTTATGATGTCTTCAACGAAACCATTGGAGAAGCCGTTGTTGACTAGGACCTGCCTTACCCTACAGAGTTCTTCATCGACTTGCTTCCATCCTGAGCTGTGGCTGAGAGCACGGTCGACATAAGCGTTAACGACACTCCTCTTGTACCTGTCTGGGCAGTCACTGTTGGCATTGAGGCACATTCCTATGTTTGTTTCCTTAGTGTAGACTGCAGTGTGGAAACCTCCGCTCCTTTCCATGACTGTTACATCTAGAAAGGGCAGCTTCCCATCCTTCTCCATCTCGTAAGTGAAACGCAACACAGAATTCCGCTCAAATGCCTCCTTCAGCTCCTGCAGATGTCTGACATCAGGTACCTGTGTAAAAATGTCGTCAACATACCTGCAGTATATGGCCGGTTTCAAGTTCATGTCGACTAAGACCTTTTGTTCGATGGTACCCATGTAGAAGTTCGCAAACAGGACACCTAGGGGAGAACCCATGGCGACCCCATCTACTTGCTTATACATGTGCCCATCCGGGCTCAAGAAGGGTGCCTCTTTAGTACAAGCTTGGAGTAGTTTCCTTAGAATGTTTTCTGGTATGTCAAGAGGAGTACAGGCCGGATCACGATACACTCTGTCCGCTATCATCCCGATTGTTTCATCCACAGGTACGTTGGTAAACAGTGATTCTACGTCCAACGAGGCTCTTATCCCTGTGGCCCGTGTTCCCCGCAGTAAGTCAACAAATTCCTTTGGAGACTTCAGGCTGAAGGCGCAAGGGACATAAGGAGTCAGCAAGCCGTTGAGTCGCTTCGCCAGTCTGTACGTGGGTGTGGGTATCTGGCTGATGATTGGCCGAAGTGGGTTTCCAGGCTTATGTGTCTTGACATTTCCATACGCGTATCCAGGTTTATATTCCCCAATAATCTTTGGCAGGTGGAGTCCGGATTTCTTGGCGTTCACAGTTTCGATCAATTTGTTGACCTTTGCTTTCAATTCGGCTGTAGTGTCCTTCGTTACCCTTTGGAATTTAGTTTGGTCAGAGAGAATGAGGTTCATTTTCGCCAGATATTCGTCTTTTTTAAGAATGACGTATATTGGCGACTTGTCACCTCTCCTGACGACTATCTCCTTGTTCTCACGAAGGCTCTTAGCTGCCGCTTTGAGCTCGGGGGACAGTATGGTGCTTCTGTAGTTGCCTCGATTCTTTCCTCCTTCCGCAATAAGTTCTGCTTGTAAGGTGTCGGGCCATCTCACTTGGTCTGGACATAACGTGACAGTTTATACCCAGATTTAGGAGAGTAATTTGGTCCTCAGTGAGGTTGATTCCTGCAAGGTTCAGGAAGCCGTCTCTTGGTCGTTGAACTGCCATAGGTCCTCCATATAACGTTGTTAGTTTCTTGATTATCGTCTTTGAAAATGTAATAAGTTTTACGAAACGCGTTCAAGTGTCGCGTCAGACTAGAAATAAAAATGAATTTTGGAGAATTGATTTTTCAGTTACCATCAACAGTGAAAAGAAATATAAGAAAGATTGAGAAAATTCGTGTTAGAATTATTAATCTTACTTTTTCGGTCATATTTAATAATATATATATATATACCAAAATATATATATATATATATATATATATATATATATATATATATATATATATATATATATATATATATATATATATATATATATATATATATATATATATATATATATATATATATATATATATATATATATATATATATATATAAACTCACTTCTCAGCCTACTATGCAAGGCCCGATTTGCCTAATAAGCCAAGTTTTCATGAATTAATATATTTATCGTCTACCTAACCTACCTAACCTAATATATAACCTATATATATTTATTTGGCTACCTAACCTAACCTCCACCTGGTTTAAAAAAAGGTTAGGTTAGGTTAGGTAGGGTTGGTTAGGTTCGGTCATATATTTACGTTAATTTTAACTCCAAGGTTGAGATTGGTTGAGGTTAGGTAGAGAAATGGGTAGGTTTTTATCATTTCATAAGAAACATTAATTTTAGTAAATATATTAACTTCAGGAAAACTTGGCTTATTAGGCAAATCGGGAAAAAAATAGTAGGCTGAAAAGTGAGTTCTGGCTACTAGGTACGACATATATATATATATAGTATGCGTTATGGCTATAGGTATATATTATATATATATATATATATATATATATATATATATATATATATATAATATATATATATATATATATATATATATATATATATATATATATATATATGTCGTACCTAGTAGCCAGAACGCACTTCTCAGCTTACTATGCATGGCCCGATTTGCCTAATAAGCCAAGTTTTCATGAATTAATGCTTTTTCGACTACCTAACCTACCTAACCTAACCTAACCTAACTTTTTCGGCTACCTAACCTAACCTAACCTATAAAGATAGGTTAGGTTAGGTTAGGTTAGGTAGGGTTGGTTAGGTTCGGTCATATATCTACGTTACTTTTAACTCTTTTAAAAAAAAATTGACCTTATACATAATGAAATGGGTAGCTTTATCTTTTCATAAAAAAAATTTGAGAAAATATATTATTTCAGGAAAACTTGGCTTATTAGGCAAATCGGGCCTTGCATAGTAGGCTGAGAAGTGCATTCTGGCTACTAGGTACGACATATATATATATATATATATATATATATATATATATATATATATATATATATATATATATATATATATATATATATATATATATATATATATATATATATATATATATAATCATTGTCTCTCTCCCTCACCTTGGCCACGAAGGTTTGTTGCAGTCCCCCGTCAAAGCCAGGCTGGCAGCCTACTGCCAGGGAGTCGTAGGTCTTGTTGATCACTGCACAGCCTACTGGCTGCTCCGGACGACCTGTAGGGGAGGGGACGACCAGGGGCACGAGTGAGGGGCTGCTGTTCTTGCTACTGTCTTTGTTTATGAGCGCTAACTTAGCCTTGTTGTTAATGTTCTTGTTGCTCTATTATATGTTACTGTTCTTGTTGCTCTATTATATGTTACTGTTCTTGTTGTTGATTGCTGCAACTGTTGATGCCACTGTTGCAACTGTTCAACAATATTATACAATGTTATATATATTATACAAACTACAATCCGATAGTTGCAACAATGATATTGTTGCAACTGGCAGAAATCCTCTGCCTCTGTTGGGAAGAAGGAGAGCTGCCACAAGACATGAGGGACGCCAACATCGTCACGCTGTATTAGAATATAGGTGACAGGGTCGACTGCGACAATTACTGTGGCATCTCCCTCCTCAGAATTGTCGGAAAGCTGTTTGGTCGAGTCACATTGAATAGGCTCCAAGTACTTGCAGAGAGAGTCTATCCAGAATCACAATTCGGATTCCGAGCTAACAGGGCCACCACCGACATGATCTTTTCCTTCAGACAACTGCAGGGAAAATGCAGGGAACAGAAACAGCCACTCTTCGTAGCCTTCATAGATCTGACGAAGGCCTTCGACCTCGTCAGCAAGGATGGCCTGTTTAAGATCCTCTCCATGATCGGATGCCCACCCAGGCTAATCAGCATCATCAGATCTTTCCACGAGAACATGAAAGGCACCTTGGTCTTTGATGGCCTAACATTAGACGCCTCTGACATCCGAAGTGGAGTAAAGCAGGGCTGCATCCTGGCTCCAATCTTATTCGGGATTTTCTTCCCAGTTATGAGGCAACACGCCTTCGGATCTGCCACGGAAAGCATCTACCTCCAGACCAGGTCGGATGGAAAGCTTTTTAACCTCGCCAGGCTGAGAGCCAAGACGAAGGTTCACTGAGGTATCTGCGCGACTTCCTTTTTGCTGACGACGCAGCAGTCACTGCCCACTCAGCCGAAGACCTCCAACGGCTCATAACCCGCTTCAGCGAGGCCTGTCAGGCTTTCGGACTCGCCATCAGCCTGAACAAACCACAGGTCATGGGACAAGGAGTGGACTCCCCACCTGACATCGGCATCTCCGATTCCAAGCTGGAAGTCGTTCACGACTTCGTGTACCTGGGCTCCACAATCTCTGACTCTCTCTCTCTTGATACGGAGCTAAACAAACGCATCGGTAAGGCATCTACTACCATGTCCAGACTGACAAAGAGAGTGTGGGCCAACAATAGGCTAACTGAGTATACTAAGATCCAGGTTTACAGAGCCTGTGTCCTGAGCACTCTCCTTTATGGCAGTGAGTCTTGGACACTCCGCGCCCGTCTGGAAAGACAGCTGAATGCCTAGCACATGCGCTGCCTTCGACACATCTTGGACATCACCTGTCAGGACAAGGTGACAAACAACAACGTCTTGGGGAGAGCAAGAATCACCAGCATGTACACAATGCTGAAACAGAGACTGATGCGCTGGCTCGGGCACGTGGTGCGTATGGGCGACAGCAGGATCCCCAAGGATCTCCTGTATGGAGATCTGATGCAGGGAAAGCGTCCAACAGGCAAGCCCCAGCTACGGTACAAAGACGTATGCAAGAGGGACCTGAAAGCCATGGACGTCGATCTTGCTATATGGCAGACACTGACTGCAGACCGTTCAGGCTGGAGGCAGTCTGTTCAAAGAGGTCTCTCTAAGTTCGAGGAGTCACTTGCCAAGGAATCGGAGTCAAAGAGACAGAGAAGGAAAGCCGGTAGCCAGGAAGACAGACCAGAACCTGACTTCGTTTGTGACCAGTGTGGGATGGACTGCCACTCTGGGGTTGGCCTCATCAGTCACACCAGACGCTGCTCCAGGATGGACAACCAGGGCGCAACTCCATAGTCTCCCGAGACTGAAGGATGCCTATTATGCGTTGTTGTTTTTTGCTACTGATGTTGTTGTTGTTGCTATTGTTGTTGTTACTACTGTTGATTTTGTTGTTGTTATTGTTGCTACTGTTGAAGTTTGTGTTGCTACCGTTGATGTTGTTGCTAATGTTATTGTTGTTGTTGTTTCAACTGTTGTTATTTGTTTGCTGTTGTTGCAACCGTTGTTGTTGTTGTTGTTTCAACTGATGTTGTTGCAACAGTTGTTGTTGCAACTGATGTTATTGCAACCGTTGTTGTTGTTGTTGCTACTGTTGTTTTATCAACTGTTGGCGTTCTTTCTACTGTTGATGTCACTGTGTAATTGTAATTGTGTAATTACAATTACACTGTGCTAGTGTAATTGTTTCTTGATAGTGCTAATATTGCTGAAGAGGGTTTAATTCCAATTGTTGTTTTTGTTGTAAATGAAGATGACATTTGTTGTTGATTTTGTTGTTGTCGGTGTTGCTGCTTTTGATATTACTGCTGTTGATATCCCTTGACCCCACTGACCTGCCTCCCCTACCACCCACCTACACCCACTGACCTGCCTCCCCTACCACCCACCTACACCCACTGACCTGCCTCCCTTACCACCCACCTACACCCACTGACCTGCCTTCCTTGCAACCCACCTATACCCACTGACCTGCCTTCCTTGCAACCCACCTATACCCACTGATCTGCATCACGTACAACCCACCTACACACACTGACCTGCCTCCCCTACCACCCACCTACACCCACTGACCTGCCTCCCCTACCACCCACCTACACCCATTGACCTGCCTCCCTTACCACCCACCTACACCCACTGACCTGCCTTCCTTGCAACCCACCTATACCCACTGACCTGCCTTCCTTGCAACCCACCTATACCACTGATCTGCATCACGTACAACCCACCTACACACACTGACCTGCCTCCCCTACCACCCACCTACACCCACTGACCTGCCTCCCCTACCACCCACCTACACCCACTGACCTGCCTCCCCTACCACCCACCTACACCCACTGACCTGCCTCCCCTACCATCCACCTACACCCACTGACCTGCCACCCCTACCACCCACTTACACCCACTGACCTGCCACCCTTACCACCCACTTACACCCTTGGACCTGCCTTCCTTAACACCCACTTACACCCTTGGACCTGCCTCCCTTAACACCCACCTACACCCTTGGACCTGCCTCCCTTAACACCCACCTATACCCTTGGACCTGCTTCCCTTGCCACCCACCTACACCCACTGACCTGCCTCCCTTACCTCCCACCTACACCCACTCACCTGCCTCCCTTAACACCCACCTACACCCATGTACCTGCCTCCCTTACCACCCACCTACACCCACTGACCTGCCTCTCTTACCACCCACCTACACCCACGTACCTGCCTCCCTGGGGACCCACCAACACCCACGTACCTGCCTCCCTGGGGACCCACCTACACCCACGTACCTGCCTCCCTGGGGACCCATCTACACACACGTGCCTGCCTCCCTGAGGAGCCACCAGCCCCCACGTACCTGCCTCCCTTACCACCCACCTATGCCCACGTACCTGCCTCCCTTACCACCCACCTACACCCACGTACCTGCCACCCTGAGGAGCCACCTACACCCACGTACCTGCCTCTCTAGGGACCCACCAACACCCACGTACCTGCCTCCCCGAGGAGCAACCTACACCCACGTACCTGCCTCTCTAGGGACCCACCTACACCCATGTACCTGCCTTCCTTACCACCCACCTACACCCACGTACCTGCCACCCTGCGGACCCACCTACACCCACGTACCCGCCTCCCTGGGGACCCACCTACACCCACGTACCCGCCTCCCTGGGGACCCACGTACACCCACGTAACTGCCTCTCTGAGGACCCACCTACACCCACGTAAATGCCTCCCTGGGGACCCACCTACACCCACGTACCTGCCACCCTAGGGACCCACCTACACCCACGTACCTGCCACCCTGGGGACCCACCTACACCCACGTACCCGCCTCCCTGGGGACCCACCTACACCCATGTACCTGCCTCCCTTACCACCCACCTACACCCACGTACCTGCCTCCCTGGGGACCCACCAACACCCACGTACCTGCCTCTCTGAGGACCCACCTACACCCACGTACCTGCCTCCCTGGGGACCCACCTACACCCACGTACCTGCCACCCTGGGGACCCACCTACACCCACGTACCTGCCTCCCTGGGGACCCACCTACACCCACGTACCTGCCTCCCTGAGGACCCACCTACACCCACGTACCTGCCACCCTGGGGACCCACCAACACCCACGTACCTGCCTCCCTGGGGACCCACCTACACCCACGTACCTGCAGGTACGACGTGGAAGAGGCAAGGTACCGTCATCCTGCCAACCAGGTTCTGGGCCCAACACTGCAGTGTACCGTAGTCCTGGTGCGTCCTGGCCACGAACTGTACCACGCTGCCGCCCTCTGCAAGTACGGTACACCACGTCACACACACAGGTTCAGTGGACGGTACACCACGTCACACACACAGTTACAGTGGACGGTACACCACGCCACAGAAACACAGGTACAGTAGACGGTACACAACGTCACACACACAGGTACAGTGGACGGTACACCACGTCACACGCACACAGGTACAGTTGACGGTACACCACACACACACACACAGGTACAGTGGACGGTACACCACGTCACAAACACAGGTACAGCGGACGGTACACCACGCCACAGAAACACAGGTACAGTAGACGGTACACAACGTCACACACACAGGTACAGTGAACGGTACACCACGTCACACACAGGTGCAGTGGACGGTACACCACGTCACACGCACACAGGTACAGTGGACGGTACACCTCGTCACACAGACAGGTACAGTGGACGGTACACCACGCCACAGAAACACAGGTACAGTAGACGGTACACAACGTCACACACACAGGTACAGTGGACGGTACACCACGTCACACACACAGGTACAGTGGACGGTACACCACGTCACACACACAGGTACAGTGGACGGTACACCACGTCACACACACAGGTACAGTGGACGGTACACCACGTCACACACACAGGTACAGTGGACGGTACACCACGTCACACACACAGGTACAGTGGACGGTACATCACGTCACACACACAGGTACAGTGGACGGTACATCACGCCACACACACAGGTACAGTGGACGGTACATCACGTCCCACACACAGGTACAGTGGACGGCACACCACGTCACACACACACAAAGGTACAGTGGACGGTACACCACGCCCACACACACACACACACAGGTACAGTGGACGGTACATCACGTCCCACACACAGGTACAGTGGACGGTACATTACGTCCCACACACAGGTACAGTGGACGGTACACCACGCCACACACACACACACACACAGGTACAGTGGACGGTACATCACGTCCCACACACAGGTACAGTGGACGGTACACCACGTCACACACACACAAAGGTACAGTGGACGGTACACCACGCCACACACACACACACACACAGGTACAGTGGACGGTACATCACGTCACACACACAGGTACAGTGGACGGTACACCACGTCACATACATAGGTACAGTGGACGTTACACCACGTCCCATACACAGGTACAGTGGACGTTACACCACGTCACACACACAGGTACAGTGGACGGTACATCACGTCACACACACAGGTACAGTGGACGGTACACCACGTCACACACACACAGGTACAGTGGACGGTACACCACGTCACACACACACACAGGTACAGTGGACGGTACACCACGTCACACACACACAGGTACAGTGGACGGTACACCACGTCACACACACACAGGTACAGTGGACGGTACACCACGTCACACACACAGGTACAGTGGACGTTACACCACGTCCCATACACAGGTACAGTGGACGTACACCACACACACACAGGTACAGTGGACGGTACACCACGTCACACACACAGGTACAGTGGACGGTACACCACGTCACACACACACAGGTACAGTGGACGGTACACCACGTCACACACACACAGGTACAGTGGACGGTACACCACGTCACACACACAGGTACAGTGGACGGTACACCACGTCACACACACACAGGTACAGTGGACGGTACACCACGTCACACACACACAGGTACAGTGGACGGTACACCACGCCACACACACACACACAGACTGTGCACGGTACTGGAGTAGGTACCCGCAGATACTGGTACCATGCTATACAAGTACGGTACATACAGGTCAAGGGGACAGAGCTGGGATATTAGAGACTAGCAGCTGGGATATGATAACAAGAAGCTTTTATTTGAGGACAAGGGCTGGGATATGAGGACAAGGAGCTGGGATATGAAGACAAAGAGCTGGGATATGAGAACAAAGAGCTGGGATATGGGGACAAGAGCTGGGATATGTGGGCAAGGAGCTGGAATATGAGGACAAAGAGCTGGGATATGAGGACAAGGAGCTGGGATATGTCTACAAGGAGCTAGGATATGAGGACAAGGAGCTGGGATATGAGGACAAGGAGCTGGGATATGTCTACAAGGAGCTAGGATATGAGGACAAGGAGCTGGGATATGAGGACAAGGAGCTGGGATATGACAACAAGGAGCAGGGATATGAGGACAAGGAGCTAGGATATGAGGACAAGGAGCTGGGATATGAGGACAAGGAGCTGGGATATGAGGAAAAGGAGCTGAGATATGAGGACAAGGTGCTGGGATATGAGGACAAGGAGCTGGGATATGAGGACAAGGAGCTGGAAAATGAGGACAAGGAGCTAGAATATGAGGACAAGGAGCTGGTATATGAGGACAAGGAGCTGAGACATGAGGACAAGGAGCTGGGATATGAGGACAAGGAGCTGGGATATGAGGACAAGGAGCTGGGATATGAGGACAAGGAGCTGGTATATGAGGACAAGGAGCTGAGATATGGGGACAAGGAGCTGAGATATGAGGACAAGGAGCTTGGATATGAGGACAAGGAGCTGGGATATGAGGACAGGGAGCTGGGATATGAGGACAAGAAGCTGGAATATTAGGACAAGGAGCTGGGATATGAGGATAAAGAGCTGGGATATGAGGACAAGGAGCTTTGATGTGAGGACATGAAGCTGGAATATGAGGACAAGGAGCTGGAATATGAGGACAAGGAGCTGGGATATGAAGACAAGGAGCTGGGATATGAAGACAAGGAGCTGGGATATGATGACAGGGAGCTGGGATATGAGGACAAAAAATTGAAATATGAGGACAAGGAGCTGGGATATGAGGATAAAGAGCTGGTATATGAGGACAAGGAGCTGGGATATGACTACAAGGAGCTAGGATATGAGGACAAGGAGGTGGGACATGAGGACAGGGAGCTGGGATATGAGGACAAGAAGCTGGGATATGAGGATAAAGAGCTGGGATATGAGGATAAAGAGCTGGGATATGAGGACAAAGAATTGGGATATGAGGACAAAGAGCTGGGATATGAGGACAAGGAGCTGGGATTTGACTACAAGGATCTAGGATATGAGGACAAGGTGCTGGGACATGTGGACAGGGAGCTGGGATGTGAGGACAAGGAGCTAGGATATGAGGACAAGGAGCTGGGATATGAGGACAAGGAGCTGGGATATGAGGACAAGGAGCTGGGACATGCGGACAGGGAGCTGGGATATGAGGACAAGGAGCTGGGATATGTCTACAAGGACCTAGGATATGAGGACAAAGAGCTGGGATATGAGGACAAGGAGCTGGGATGTGACAACAAGGAGCTGGGATATGAGGACAAGGAGCTAAGATATGAGGACATGGAGCTGGGATATGAGGACAAGGAGCTGGGATATGAGGACAAGGATCTGAGATATGAGGACAAGAAGCTGGAATATTAGGGCAAGGAGCTGGTATATGAAGGGTAGGAGCTGGGATATGAGGATAAAGAGCTGGGAGATGAGTACAGGCAGCTTTGATGTGAGGACAAGAGGCTGGAATATGAGGACAAGGAGCTGGGATATGAGGACAAGGAGGTGGGATATGTCTACAACGAGCTAGGATATGACGACAAAGAGCTGGGATATGAGGACAAGGAGCTGAGATATGAGGACAAGGAGCTGGGCTATGAGAACAAGGAGCTGGGATATGTGAACAAGGAGCTGGGATATGTGAACAAGGAGTTCTTATATGAGAACAAGGAGCTGGGATATGTGAACAAGGAGCTGGGATATGTGAACAAGGAGCTGGGATATGAGGACAACGAACTGGAATATGACGACAAGGAGCTGGGACATGATAAAAAAAATCATTCTTGTTTTGTATAAAACATTAATAATTATTTTAAGTTTTTAAGGTCAATTTAAGAAAAAATCATCAATTAAAAAAATTGCCTTTACATTTTCATCACAATACAGTTGCTAGATATTCCTTTATACATGTTAATATGGAACAAATTATAATTAGTATATTACATTTAAATGAATTCTCAATAGACAAATCTAAGCAGAGGTATTAAAAACATACAAAATTTCCCACATCGGTATGAGTAATATTGTTGGGTATGAGTAATATTGTTGGGTATGAGTAATATTGTTGGGTATGAGTAATATTGTTGGGTATGAGTAATATTGTTGGGTATGAGTAATATTGTTGGGTATGAGTAATATTGTTGGGTATGAGTAATATTGTTGGGTATGAGTAATATTGTTGTTGAGTAATATTGTTGGGTATGAGTAATATTGTTGGGTATGAGTAATATTGTTGGGTATGAGTAATATTGTTGGGTATGAGTAATATTGTTGGGTATGAGTAATATTGTTGGGTATGAGTAATATTGTTGGGTATGAGTAATATTGTTGGGTATGAGTAATATTGTTGGGTATGAGTAATATTGTTGGGTATGAGTAATATTGTTGGGTATGAGTAATATTGTTGGGTATGAGTAATATTGTTGGGTATGAGTAATATTGTTGGGTATGAGTAATATTGTAGGGTATGAGTAATATTGTTGGGTATGAGTAATATTGTTGGGTATGAGTAATATTGTTGGGTATGTGTAATATTGTTGGGTATGAGTAATATTGTTGGGTATGAGCAATACTGTTGGGTATGAGTAATATTGTTGGGTATGAGTAATATTGTTGGGTATGAGTAATATTGTTGGACATGATTAATATTGTTGGGTATGAGTAATATTGTTGGGTACGAGTAATATTGTTGGGCATGAGTAATATTGTTGGGTATGAGTAATATTGTTGGGTATGAGTAATATTGTTGGACATGATTAATATTGTTGGGTATGAGTAATATTGTTGGGTACGAGTAATATTGTTGGGCATGAGTAATATTGTTGGGTATGAGTAATATTGTTGGGTATGAGTAATATTGTTGGGTATGAGTAATATTGTTGGGTACGAGTAATATTGTTGGGTACGAGTAATATTGTTGGACATGAT